GGCCGGCAAGGCTCCGCATAGTTCTGTCTCCACTGCACTACATTACAATCAGGATGCTTGACCACTGCTGCAACAACAGAACTAACAAGGACGACAGTAACTCAGTTAGTAAGTGGTTCGTCAAGCTTTCCCGATTAGTTCGAGCTGGTGCCCGCTGTTTCAAAAGAACTGACTGGTCGCTTAGTGTCCAGGCGGTTGCCCAGGAATCATGCACAAGAATACTCATGCAATGGCATTATAGTCAGGCATTCAATCATTCAATTCATGCTCTCTCACCGAGTTGGTCTCATGATACAATGGCGGTGCAGATGCACTTACTGCAAGCCCCGCGTTGCCAGCTCCTCCAGTTCTAGGGGTGCCTCCGTTCTCCCACGGGCTCAAAGGTCGTCTCTGCAGTCCGCCGCGGCAGTAAATTCACAAACATCATGCAAAGTATTCATGCAGCGGTGTCACCATGTCAAATTCGCAAATTCAAGAATTCCATGAATTCCAAATTCAATGAATTCTTGAATTCGCCTGCAGTCTGCTTCCATCCTTGCAGCGGCACGGCAGCAACTTCTTCCATGAGCGCTGTCATACCCACAGCCACTGGGTTCGCGATGGCAAAATCTGTTCTGCCAGCACTCAACCTGCACTTGTACAGAGCACCTCAGAATCAACCGACAGAGAGGTTTACAGGGGTCCCATGTCGTGCAGATCCAGGCGTGAACCACGGAGATAGTCGTCGCCACTACGTAGTCTTGCATCCGCTAGAAGAAACCATGTGCGTAGCCGGAGTCTCCACGAAAGTCCACACACAATCTCTTGCAGCGTCCTCTCGTCTTCTGCTACTTCACTCAGCCGGATTGGTCTGTACTTGGCTTCACAAACTCGCTCCAAGTGGCCCCAATACTCCCGGACCAACGGTTCAGCATCTACCTCTTCCAGCTGCCTCAGTGCTTCAATAAGGGCCAAGAGGTGTACTGCCACATAAGCTGCACTGTTTGCGTCCAGCTCAATCAGAACATGCCTGAGCCCGTAGACATCAAGTCCTGTGTACAAAGTCACCGGGGGCAGCAATTGGCCAAAAGTCATGGCTGCCACTGTCGCGGGTTAGTGGTTTATTAGCCAGGGGGCAGGGGGAGCAGTGGGTTTTCTCAAGGGTTTAGGGTTTAGGGTTTGGGGTTTAGGGTTTAGGGTTCTGTAGGGCTTACCTTGCTTTGGGCAGGAGAGAGTTGGTTGGAAAGAGCTTGCACTTTAACTAGAATGAGTTCCACAACTGCAAGATACGGTAAGTGCGCCTGTCCAGGCTGTGTGTTTGGGTGGCTAGTTGACTAAAAAGGACCTTATCTGGGATGCTGGCCTCTTTCCATTCCACTACTTGGACTCCCACCTGCCGCCTTGCGGTCAGGTTCTCGCCTGTGTAGAAAATGGGGGTTTCCGAAAATTGGGGACCCTAATTTTGTACCCTCAATCGTAGGATCCTTATTCTCAGGACCCCCAAAAAAGGTACCCCGTATTTTCGGAAACTCCCAAATCCTGGCCTTCGGAAGGAGCTTCACCGTCAGGTCCGTCAGCCCCTGATCGAGGCTCTTCAGGTCCGCCCCTAGCAACGAGACCTGGCACAAGGCCGCAAAAGTGATCACAAACCCTGCCGAAGCCTCCCACATGGGCGTGCGGCTTGCGGTTTACTAATTTAGGGACGCTTAGGGAAAGCTTTTATGCACATACGCCCGCCCATAGAAGAGCCCCTCACGGAAACAGCACGCTACCTGTCTCGATGATTCTGGTGTCGACCCCCGGCCACAGTAGAAGACATCTGAGTGCTTGGGACCACGATGGCCGCCTGTCGACCTCTTTGTCTCTTCTGCCCTTCGGGTCCTCCATCCTCTCTCCGTCCACTGTCCCCATGAAATGAAAGTCAAAAGCCCCAGCCATCCCCGGGGAAGACCTCGGTGCCATGAAAGAAGTCGGTTTCCGCCACCTGCGAAAGATTCTCGGCAATCAGAGAAAGCCGGTGCAGCCAACGTCCTCGAACACCGCAGCCCTGCACGTCAAGCTTCAAAGCCTCAAGCCTTGCACTGCAAACCCTGACACCTAAGGGCCTTTTTGCAGCAGGACTTGCGACACGTGCAATCGCAAGAGTGTCTGAGCAAGAGGCTCAGCGCTCATGGCTGCACTTCCATGCCTTGATGGACCATAAGGGTCCGAAACCCTGAACCCTGAACCCTCACCGCGAGAACCGCAAGTAGCCAATCGCCGCAAAACCGAAACTCCCAAGCCAGTAACGACTTAACTTCAGGAGCAGATGTTTTGACGAGTCGCAATATGGTGGAACACACTACCAGATCACGCGACGTAGCCAAAGAAGCCCCACTCTGCCTGAACTTTGTTCAACGCTGCCGGCAGGAAGCAAATTTTCGCCTGCCCTGCGGCATCCGTGATGGCCTGCTCTGTCGGCAGCGAATGATGCCCAAGGGGCAAAGAGACAAAGAATCAATGTCAAGCTAGTCCTGCTGTGTGTCCGTGCCCCGATATCCCTCAGGCACTTTTCCTCCCTTCTTCCACACCGAGCCTGAAAAGGAAGCGGTTGGCATTGACCTTGGTTGCAGCGCTCTCAACTGGGTCGAAAGGAGCTGCGTCTGGAACTTTGAGCCGTGTTCAACCGCCATCTCAACTTGCTACCGGCAATTTCGGCTTATCCAGGAGCTGTCTGATGTGGGGATCGATCTTACAAGAAGAGACGCGCAGAAATGTGTTCTTGCAAACTGCCCATCTGAAAGAGTTTCCCCGAAAGGAATGACAGGAATGCAGCCTACAAATCACACTCTGACGAGTGCAGCACAAAGCAGCAGCAACACATCATCAACCTCATCGCCTTGCCTCCGTTCCTGGTGGCTTTTGTGGCCCCAAACCAGCTTTCCGCCTTTGGGGACCCTTGGCCTAGCCAAGCAGCTCACGTGGACCACTCCATCGGTGGAAGCCTCCCATGAAACTGTGCTGACTGCCACCCACTATACAGATACAAGAGCCCCAGATGGGACCGGGGACCCTATGGCCCCATGGGGCAAATCGGTGTCCCAAGAGCCTCGGGGCCCTTTAACCTTGGAGCCTTGGGTCCGGGATTTCGGTCTGGCCCATGTATTTCCGAAAATCTGGAGACAGCCTCGGTAGCGAAGCCGCGAGGATGGCAAGCGAGGACGCACACGACGTGGCCTGCATGCAGTGGCCCAGCGAGTCCCATGTGATGGTGATACACTTGGCAATGATACCACAACCAAGGAACGACTGTCAAGAGTAAGAAGAACAACGGTAGCAGCAGCACCAGCAGCAACTAGGACAACCGCCGCCGCCCCCGCCACCGCCCCCCCCACCACCAACGACGACAGCACCGGCACCGTCATGACTATCACCAGTCTCGATGCCCACGATCTGATGCAGTTGAACCATTCAATCACAATCGTAAAGTAAAAAATAATGAAAAATGCTGGATCTTTCATAAAGGCTTTTGGCCTTGGTTTCAGCAAGGGAGGGTTTGCTAGCAGATCCTGCGCCGTAGCCACAAGACATGACCGCATCAATCAACAACCCTCATAGCAGGAACAGCTCATCATGGCGACAATGCAAGACTCAGAAAAGACGAAGGCGACAACAACGATGAAAGGAGCCATCATTGCCAGTATGCTCGTCACTGCCATCATCAATTTCGACAAAATCTACTCTTTCGTCCTCTCCATCGTTGTTACCACCCCTGCCGTGCTCAGCTGCAACACCAGCACCACCACCATGACGATTTAAAAAATCATGTGGTGCAGTTGGGACTGGTGCCGCAGCTTCGCTTTGGGCATTCCTGGTCTGGCGCCACGTTCCAACATGCAGCAGGCCACCCACATCTCTAGTCACTAGTCACTAGCCCCGAAGACCAGAGGCCAGGGTGTCACACATGACGTGAAGCTGGAATTGCCTGCGCCCACGTAGGCATCCTCGCCAGGGCTTGTGAGCACCAAACAGAACTCCTGTATCCAACAGCCCCAGGCCCTACTGTAGTCGCGGAAGCCTGGGTTGCCCGGAACAGCCTGTAGGGTGTAGGGTATAGGGTATAGGGTTTCGACTCACACACTCGCACAATGCTGGCAGGTATAGGGTTTAGGGTTTAGGGTATAGGGTGTAGGATCGAGCGGAACTTGAAATTACCCTCTCAGCCCCATCACATCGTTGCCGAGCTGACGCCTCCGAGTTTAGGTCGCTCCTTGCACCCTTCACAACGCCAAGGCATCTAAGAATCGAACTGCGAGGCTTTAGAGACTAGGTAAGCTTACGGAAAAAGAGATGCCTTTTGTTCGGGAGTTCATAGCTGCCATAGCGAAACTACATGTGGGTGGTTGTCAAAATTAGGGTCCCTTTTTGGGTCCTTATTATAATACGGCACCTACTATTTAGGGGTACCCCCAAAAGGGACCCTAATTTTGACAACCACCCAGATGGTGTTTTCGGGGGACTTTCGCAGCGGACCGCCCCGGCCCTCCTCGATCCGTTGCTCGACGTCCTCGAACTCGCCTTTGAGACTGCTGCATCGCTCCCTACCCTACCGTGTCTGTATGTACCTGTGTACGTGTGTACGAAATATATGTGTATGTATGTATGTATGTATGTATGTATGGATGTATGTATGGATGTATGTATGGATGCATGTGTGAACATATGTACATATGTATGTGCGGCATATGTACATGTCTCTGGGGTGGTTGCCAGGATCCCACTACGTAGGGTCGAGATTAGGGGTCCCTGGTCGCGCTGTGCATGGCAACTTTTGCCAAAGTGTGGCCCATGGCAAGGTAGCTCTGGACAGTGAAATCTTCGTCTCTATGTAGTTTACAGTCTGCGGGAAATCTTAACCTAACCCTAGACACCTCAAAACTACCCCACATTGCCATCTACAGCACCCAGATATACCCAAACAGAACCAAATTATGCCCAACCAGACTCACAGGGCCTCTTGCAGGCGCCTCCAGCGCAAGCTGCACCCGCAGCCAGCGCTTCGCAAAGAAGGGCTCGATCTTCTCAAAGATGCCATCCACCTGAAGCTTGAAACAGTATTTCTGCAGGTACCTGCTGGGTAGTTGTCAAAATTATGGTCCGTTTTGGGGTACCCTAAATAATAGGTGCCGTATTATAATAAGGACCCCAAAAAGGACCATAATTTTGACAACCACCCTGCTATGCTTCAGATCCTCCTGCAAGTTGGTCCTGCAGTGAGCACGGAGCTCTTCGGAGCATCTGCAGTATGGCTGCACTGATCTACGGTCCATGCTCCGGATCCTTCGGGGGGCTATAAAGTATATAGGCCCTCTGCCTCATCCAGGCTTGGGATCTCCGGGTGAGGCATCGTGAAGAGGCATCGGCCCCTTGTTGCGCGGGTGTCCGGGTCGCTCCAAAGCAAGAGCACCTGAGATCCGGGTTGAGCAGGGTTCCAGCACTCACTCTCGGACTTGCCTAGCAGGGTTTCGGGAAGTTAATCTTTCGGGGTCTGAGAAACGTGTGATGAAGTTCGAGGGACTGAAGCTTATGATATCTGGGCCTCGAGACCCTCCATGCCTCCATGAAAGTCACAACGCCTGGAATTTCCGTGACCTCATGACGTAAACCCACGCAGATATACATCCTGAAGCATCCGGGCCTCGAACTTCAGCTTTTAGCTTTCGGTAACTTTCAGAGCATGTCACCTCTAGCGTGGGGAGCCGATCTCGCCGATAGGGATGCTGGCGTATCCCCTCCGGAATGTCGGTGACCTGGTACTCCGGCACCTGTCACAGAAGCAAGTTTGGCCGCTAACTTCTGCGGCCCGTACCTAGAGAGAGAGAGAGAGAGAGAGAGAGACAAGCAAACAGAGAGAAGCTCCCTTGTCTCATAATAGACGCAAACATGTCGTGTCGCTCCGCAGCGAGGTTTCGCACTCTCGAGATTCGGACAGACCATTGATGCCATGCAGAGGTCAACATCAGCAGCGCCATCTCCGCTTTTTGTACATTCATCTGTGGATTTGCTTGCAGATGCCAACTTTGCATGCCAAAAATTGCATATGATTTCTTTCAAGGCAATTGCATTGCATGCTTGTTGCTCGGCAGCACCCATCACTTCGCCAATCTGTACACGGATCGATGACATTGATGACTGTGCCGCATTGCTAGCTCAGTTCCTCGAGTGGACGCGGTTGAAAATGTAGTTAAGGTGCGTTTTGATGACGTGGTTCATCGTCTAACTTCCGGGCTACATTAGCTTTGACACACAATGGATGCAGGAGAAAGAACCCTTCGGTTTCTCCCGAACATAAGGAGCCCTATTTACAGTCACAGTCACGAGAACCCTAACATAAACCCTACTGTCCTACTTCACATGTTTCCAAGGGACTTGCCGACTGCTACTGGTCAGATAAATTCTAGGATGCTTGTTGTCGATTCGCTCCACATGGGAATTTCCAGAAACTACGGGGGTCCAATGTAGAAGAGTCCTAACTATGTGTACGAACCACACCCTTAAATTAACCCAATTTCGAAAAAAACTGTGGGTGAAAGTAACGTTCAGAGAGAACCCTTTCTTGTTGGGACAGTGCCATCGTTGCTGGATGTGGCACTGCTGCTAACGCAACTTGGAAATTCAGCTCATCAGCAAACATCCGGAATTCCCGACTTACAGCCCTAACAGCGCAAGTCCGGATGCGCCACGACCCCTCGCCGTCGGATCCCTACAACTTAAGCAAATTCCCGTGGTAGCGATCTCCCTGCACGATCAATTCTGTCTCCCACAACTCTGCTTGGCCTCGTGGCCTTTCTGCAGTTGGCAACTGGCGCTGGTCTCGTGAAGCTTCAACCACAGCTCGTGTTTGACCTCGAAGGAACAGGCTGCAGTTGGCATTTTTTGGCCCCCCAATTCAAGCAGGCCTGGCAGCCGATTGTATCTTCAATCGCAAAATCCGGTGAAACCACGGTTCCGACATGAATAGGCAGGCGAGCAGCATGTTCCATGATGATCTCCACCATCGAGCCTGCTGAGTTCCCACCACCATGTATACCGTCACAGCCATCACGCCATTCTCAACTAAAGCAGAACAAGACGGCTATGCGCTAGAGAGACCAACATAAGCATGTGGATCTTAAGGGTCCCTGAAAAACCTACCAAAACCCTAAACCCTAAACCCTAAACCCTTTTGCAACAGGCTTTCCACTAAACCCTAAACCCTAAACCTTTTTGGACCAGGCCTAGCTTCTCGTGCGTCTTCTGCCTCAGAACGACGCGGCTCTGGCTGAAAAACTTCGGACGAGAATCAGGGAGGCTGCCAAAGCTGGCATCACTGTTGACGTCGCTTTTCAGCGTAAGGAGTCAAGGAGATAGAGCAAAAAGGATTCGGACAAAGCACAACCTCCAGATGAGATTCACTGCCAAAGCCAAGCTTCTGGAGCTTGTGCGCCACTTTCATCATGCCAGGTACATCGCGTGCCTTAGTAATTTCCCAGATGGCTTTCAAAGCGACCCCTGTTATACTCACGGCTTGACCCCTGCAGCCCCCGAGAACCCGAAGCCATCGAAGCGCCGGATATACCTCCTACTCTCCAAGGGCCACACGGTCTGGAGACTTCTGCAGTGCTGCCGAGGGTCGACTGTAAAAATCAGCCGGCCATGCTCGAAATAGCCCGGCCCGAAGACCTCCGAGGATGATTTTGAGGTGGCGATCATACATATGATGATAAGGCTTCTCATCTTGGCTACATGTCAAGATCAACGTTTCGGATATCTGTCATGTTGCTTGGCAGGCTTCTCGATTTCGGGGGAGTCGGCGCTCACATCGACTCTCACTCCGGGCCCGGGACTCTCCAGCAGGCTAGGCCGTTCAGGGATCCAACATCAGGGGCTTCACGTTTAGAATCGGACACTGGGGCGTACAGTAGAATTTGCACAAGCATCCTCAGGAACCCCAAGGACGACTGCTGGTGACATTTGGTATTTATGATCAGGGCCCCTTTTTGAACAGAGGCGGCTCAGGGTCCCAGGTCTGCCTCGTCGAGCTCTTCGAGCTGTATCTGCGCAGGGGCCCTCTTCTCCGAAGAGGGCGCCATGGCAAGAACTGGAACGCTAAACTCCGTGGCTCGCAAGTTTGGGTGGGTGGGGCCCTTCGTAGCCTTCTGAGATCTAATCTGCCACAAGAAATGTCCCGGGCCCTTGGAGAGAGAAGGTATAGCAGTCTCCATTGAAGCGGGGACCTGCCATCATTATCCTGCCCGCCCAGAGATGGATCTGGAGCAGAAACTATTCTTACAGGGACAACGGCTGCGAAGATCTTTGTTGTTACTCGTGCTTTCTGAGCCATCCCCGACATGCTAACCTCTGTCGTAGGATTGGCTGGCTCGAGCCTTAAGGCGACACAAGTCCAAAGGCACGTGTTTTTTAGGGCTTGGAAGCTTTCATGTGCCTCCAGCAAAACCGTCGACGAGCGTCGCTCACAGCAATGCAACGCCAGCTTTGCATCGCTCCTCAACAGACTCTCAACTGGAAAAGCTCGTTCTGAACTTACGATGCACAAAGCGGCAACTTAACGTCAAAGCGTCAACCCGAGGAATGGAAAGCCGGATGTCAGACTATCATGTGTAAAGAGACACAGAGAGACACACACACACACACATGTTCATGCATCCCTTGGGGCACCCCCGGATCCCGTCAGAGTCTTCGATAGACTCAGGACCGAGCCATGCTCGGAAGAACGCCGTTCGTCATATCCTCGCTGGCGGCTTCCACAAAGTGCTTAACAGTCACTGGTGAGAGGCTTAGATCAGAAGTCTTATACCATCATGAAAGCTGACCTAGCATGACGACCGCAGCTGCAAGTTGGAGCACTGCGGCCCCTTCACCCTGAGGCCACAACCATGACGGCTTTGCCGGCGACCTGCCACTTGGGCCACGGCTACTTGTGTGTATGTCTGCATGGATGGGTGTAGATATAGATACGTAAGCAGGCAAGCAGACACCAGGTAGGTAGCCTAGGCCAGTGTGTCTAGATGCATGCGAATGCATGCATGCATGTATGTGTGCATGTCACAGCTACAACACTCGCGTTCCCTGTCTGGCACCTGCGCAAGCCAATTTGCGAGAGTAGCAATGCGGTACCTCTCCGAAAAGCAGTTCCTGCGACGCACCTCAACAGTAATGTTCCCTCCCGAGGCCAGCATGGCTTGTGCAACCTTGATTCACACACACATGGCCAGTGCAGTTCCACTACCGTGCCGGTCAGATCCTGTGCCACAGGCATGATGATCGGCATGTTGACAAGGGCTCCATGCCCTCACTATGGATACTCTCCCGAAACGATTTGTCCACAAGTACCGCAAGACTACCAAGCACGATTGAGCAACCAAAACCACATTCAAACGTAAATTCCACGCATCCAACACCCAAGCCCCAACCACCCCCTACAACACCAAACTCTAAACATCGCTTGAACCGTAAACTCCAACGCCCCGAACCGAAGCTTCCACCGTCCCTGGTGGTGTGCTCCTGGGACTGCGACGGCCGACCGATTCTGGAGAAGCGACTGGCAACATTGGGTGATGCACCAGACTCAGCAAAGACAGGATTGTTCACATATACTCAATAAGAGTCTAGGAGGTACATTGCTCAGCTCGCCAGAGACGCACGACAGATCTGAGACATTGTTCAACTATTTCAACATGACAGTGAGCCTAGCCCCACGAGGCATACCAGCTACCTGCAAAGCAATCAGGAACAAACAACCCAGACTGGATAATTTCGACTCTCACACTGGATAATTTAGGGTATTTGATTTTTAGTCGAGTTATCTCGGGGCTAGAAGGGGTACTGTTTGCAATAGTGTTTCAATTCTGACCCCTGTGTTGCATCAACCTAATATGAGTGCTCCGGAGATCTCAGGAAGCATATGAAAGTGACGTTGGGGACTAGTTTCAGCATTCACACGAAATGTGATCTTCAAGCCCTAAAAACCTGCGGCCGTGATGGCCAAGTGTAGATGACACCTGATGACCCCAAGAGCCCAGCAGCCGTCGCCTTCTCAAACTTCTTGCCCTCCTTGATCATCTGCCTCTGATTTATTGCATAAGCCAGGAGCAGGAAAGAGCAACATATCCTTCTTGTCTGTACTTTGGGGTCTTAGTCAAGTGAACAGGCACACGCTGCCCCAAGCTCCGGCACGGGAGAGCCATATGCATATGCATCAGCAATCTCACGCCGTCTCCGGCATCCCGGGCGGGCAGCACCATAACAAATCGTTCGCTGCTCGGACTGTTGATTCCGACGGAAACGAGATTATCATCCGAACAAAACCGTTCCTGTGCCAGCTCTCTAATCTACAGAAATCTTTGCTGCAAATTCAGTGGACGCCATGCGCAGGTAGATTTCGGAAAGCGACCCTCAGAACTCGAAATCCGAGATCCTACGGCAACAACCTCTCTCAGACATGCGGCACTGGCTGGAACTCCCGATAATCCAAACCGCAAGCGGGAGTTTCAAAAACAGACAGGCTGAAATAAGGCACCCCTCAAGCCAGAGGGACTCCTAAGCGAAACCCTAAATCCTAAACCTGCAAGCAGTCTGGGCTTCGATGCATCTTTGCCCGGTGGTCGCGGTCTGCCTGCGAGTCGGGCTCAAACCTCGAGAAAACAGATGCAAAACACGTACAAGGGTCGGGTTTCGGCACTCAGACTCGGACAGGTGAGGCGTGTGAACTTAATCCAGGCGACTGGAAATCGGCCACTAACTGGCCCTGTGCCCGTCGCATGCATTCCTGCTTAACCTGAACACCGTCGCTTGGAGGATGGTTCTGTTCCGAAAGCCTGCACATCAGCAACACTGCAACGAAACGACAGCGCCCGCGCTGCGGTATGAGGTGAAACGAGGGAGGGAAGGAGGGAGGGAGGGA